GTAGGTGTATGCTTTGTGCTGGTAATTTGTTAAGCCTTCACTTTGGCCCCGCAGCTGCTGGTAGAAAGTCAAGTCGCAAGTTTTTGATGAATCGATTTGGATTTGGCGAACTGTTGTAGATACAAAACTGCGCTGGCTAGCCAATATATAACTGGAAATGAACAGTGGAAAGAGAGCGAGAGAAACTGTGAGACATAGGGGGACGAAAGTGTGAGCAATGGGTAGTCAAGCCTCAAAACAAGCTTGGTTTTTGATCATTTTCTGGGGCTATGCGTTCAACTTTATCGAAATGTAAAAACTTTTGCTTTATTTATGATTTGTATCTCACTTCTTTCGGCTAGACTCGAGCAAATAATCGGAAAATAATTGTCAACAGAAATGATGTTTTACCTTTGTTACAGGGACGGACGTAAAGGTCATGAGGTGCCCAGGAAAATGTAACAGGAAAATATGAATCGAGCAAAATGTGTGTAGTTTCCAGTCGGAAGTTTGAGTACAATACATGAATGTACGTCAATGCGATTCATGTATGCCAGGCAATGCAAATTTCGATACTGGCTCGCCATTGAGTACAAAGCATTGGAAGGGTGGGCTTGTGGATTGCGGTTTGGCCCTGGCTGGGGTTGAGGCTTAGCTTTCATTTCTGTTGGGATCAATGCTGTGGCATTTCTCGTCGTAGTCGTTGCTACTGCTGCTGCTGGCGCTTAATGTTGTAGAAGAAAATTATCCTTGAATGATTTGAGGCAAGTGCGCCGTTGCATCAGCTGAGACTGAACTGTGGCTTAGGGTAGCTCAAATGAGGACGTGTGGCTTGTGACCTGTTTGTGTGCTGCTCCTTTCATTAAAACAATTTATATACCCTGCTTTTAGCTGGATTGGAGAGCAGCTAGCCACAAGCTTGGCCCACATATTTGCGTTTACTTGCATCGTATACTCATATCACATTACAGAATATGTATCGATTCACAGTTTTGGAGCCACACTTTGGTTAAATTTGTACTCAAGCTCACAAATTCTTTGTATAGGAGTTAAAAATTGCTGTGCAATTGACAATTGACAATTTAAGAAGCAGAGCTTATGTGTTGTCGATTCAGATCTCAGACCACAGCTCAAGTGCCAGTGGTTTGGAATTACAGTTTTAGAGGCACAGTTGTGCAGTCATAGCACTGATAAACCGATCTAACGCTCACATGCATACAAAGTCACAGCTGCAGATTAACATACAGTTTAGAAGCCACCAATTCAGTATCTTAGTATCTTAGTAGCTTATTCCTTTTATTGGATGCAAGATTAGTAATGAAGTCGTTTTAAAAATCAAAAGTAGAGTATGGCACAGCCGGTGTTTGGGCATTGCAAAGTATTTAATTTTCTGCTTTCGGTGTTGCTTTAGCTGCAATGATAAAGCATTTATGACTGGACTGAGCCTCTTTGCTCGTGTGCGTGCGTGTGTGTGTGTGTGTGAGTTTGTGTGTGTGTGTATTCGTGTGTGGTTGCTGTAGCTCATTTAATAGCAATGCTAAACTGTCATAGCAACTTACCCGCACACACACTCGCACTCACACATATGCAGCATAATTGGCAGCAAAAGCTGTTGTACACAAAAGAGCGAACCAAACTTTTTAGCGCGACATTGTGACATGCGTGTATGTGTGTGTGTGTGTGTATATGTGTGCGTGTGTGTGTGTGTGTGTGTGTGTGTGTGTACAGTAAGCAAACCATCCAGAAGACCATCCTGCCACTAAACCCAATCAGCAGAGCAACAACAACAACAACCAAAGAGAGGGAGAGATTTGCTGTCCAGCAGCAAATCAGCAGGGCTACACACACATACACGCACACACACTCGCACACACACAGGGTAGCAGAAGAAAAAAATGAAAGCCGGAATATGGTATGTATATAGTAAAAACAAACAATAGTAAAACTGATTAAGTCGGGGGCAAAACCACATCAAGCTAAACGATGATGAAGAAAAGACCAAAAGATTACGAGCATTGAACGCTGCGAAATGCGAAAGGCGCAGGATGCGGCAAGGACTTGTAAGGACATGCGGACTTTGGACATGGTTAGACGCGAATGTGAGCAACGCGGACTTTACTAAGCACACACATACACACTCAGACACACACACAGACACACAATCGATGGGAGCCCCCGCAACAGGAACTGTGCAAGTGGAAGGAAATGAAAAATAATGCGGGTCTTAGGGCTTTGCGAGTGTGTGCCAGTGTGTTTGTGTGTATGTCTCTGTGTGTGTGTGTGTGCGTGAAATGAAAACGAAGCAAAAGTTGAGGGTTGAGGCGAGAGCCAGAGCAAAGCAAAGAAAAGAAATGCTGAGAAAAGAACCAAAGAGAAAATGCTACCATGTATCGAATAATTGAAAGGATTCGCACAAGCTGCGCAAAATGAGCCAAGTGTGGCCAAAGCCCAGTCCAAAGGGGCGAATAAACTAAGAGTTTATTAACGGGTATACTCGACTGCCAAATATCCTGTAGTTAACATTTCGATATCATAAAACTGATAAGCAAAATAAGTTCAAATATACATTTGTAAATACTTGGACAGCTCTGCACGAGTTCTACTGAAAAGTGCTCCAGTTAAGAATTTGTCGCCCAACGTGGGATCAGCATAAGTTAGACTGATGTTGACAGAAACAAATAAACTTAAAACGTTCTTTTTCAAGGATGTTCTTTTCAATATTGAAACGTCCAAAGTACTAAGAAAAAATTGAATTCAAAATAAAATGAAGAGAAACCAAAGTTAATTTGGAAGTTAATGAACTGTCAGAACGACCATTTTCTAATAGCTAATGCCCAGTAAAGAGTTATAAGACGCTGTAAATCTTTGCTTTACTTAATTCCTGTACCGGCGAGCGTATATGCTCAATAGCTACGCTTCAGTGTGCTTTAAATACAGACATTTGCATTTACATAACTTTCTTATGCCCTATTTCCAACCAGCTTCAAGTAACAGGGCAATAGAAAATAGAAAGTTTGTGGCAATGGCGTGAGGGGTAGCTGGGATTCAACTTTCCAGCGATAATTTGTAAGATATGATAGTAATGTGCTATAACAGCAGCAATCGCAGCGGCAAAATTAGTCATTGTCCTGGCAAAGCGGACTCGACTTATCCACATGCCAACAGCTCGCCGCACATTTGCATACGTATGGCATGTGGATAAGTATGCTCAGCTGCACATATATATACATATGTATTTAAGTAAATATGTATATATGCTTATGTATGGTTTCATGTGAGTATTTGCCCCAGTGCCTGACAATTATGTACAATTTACTTTGCATAATACTCGACAGCACAAGAGCAACAACATTCGGGTTGAAGTTGCCTGGCTACAAGCAGCTAGTGGCCAGCACTTTGGGGTTGCTGCTTGGTGTGTATGTTGCGTGGGGGCCAGCTAGTTAGCATTTTGTTGGCATCAACGGAGAATAGAAAAATCTGAAAAGCAGAACAGAATAAGAAACACAATAGAAAACAACAATTGCCAGAGTTCTGAATATGTTTTAGAACAGCTCCAGCTCTCCATGGATGTAAGTTTGTTACAACAAGTGAACTTTGATTTTGCATTAATTTTGCCAAAAAAAAAAAAACAAAAGCAAAAACTTCTTGTGCCCAGCAACTAACTAGCTGTTGAGTCAGTTGATATTTGTAAAAATCGTACAGAATACACGCCCTACTAAAATGTTTCAACATTGGGCAGCTCTTTGATTCTTAACTAAACCGAAAATACTTTGGCTAATTGCGAAACTGTATTTGGCACAGGAAAAAATTGTTTCAAATGGTTGGGACATACGTTGGGCGCCGAAGGTAACATGGTGACTGGACTGGATGCAATTTATATTGAACGTCTAGCTATAGCATTTACTAAGTAAATATACAATATTTTGCATCAAAATTTGATTTGATGGGCGCACTTTTACTCAAAAAAGTCAATAGACGCCCAATGTGTGTCAAAATTGCTTTGAAAGAGTCACTTACTGCCCAACGGGTATAAAATTGTCATTAAACGAGTAGCTGAACCAATTACTAAGCAAAGTTAGTCATAAAAAATATCCAAAATTAGACAATATTGATATGGCGCCAAACTTTGTTCGAATTGCCAATAAATGAGTCAAGTGTATTATTCACTGATCATACAAACAAAAGTTTAATTTGCAATTGTATTTTGAAAAAGGACAAAAGACCATAGCCCACAGATTATACACACGTTGGGAGCCAAAAGTCACACGGCGCCCAACGTTGGCCACAAATGACACGCAATTTGCGTGAATTTCAAAAATCCAATAAAAACTAAAGTGTTGCTATAAAGAGAATTGAAAGCTTACTAGTAATCAGGGCACACCATGCAGCTGCTTTGTTGAGTACGGCTGGAAATAGTATTAACAAGTTAAGCGTTAAAGTCTTGAGAGCAGGCATTCTTTTTTTTGTTCTTAAGTGAATATAATCATTGTGAGCAAAACAAAAAGGTACAGAGAGCGACGTCAAGAGAGTGAGAGCAGTGAGTTTGACCTTAGTAAATGTGTTTGAGGTGTTAAAAATCGCGGGGTGAGAACTATGTGATGTGAGTTCTAAATATACTTTGCATGGTGTTGGTGACAGCTGAGCGCTTGAGGTGAGTTCATCATGGTGAGCAACAATTGTGAGCAACGTGAGAGAAGATCAAATGTAATAAAAAGTAATTAAAAAATATATATATAAATATATAAATGAGCTGAGTATGCAGTGCGAATTCTATTGGCAAATTTCAATTTGAATAATTTGTTGGTATTTTTTTTTTCTTCTTGTCAGCAGGAACTTGGAACTCGTGTGCGTTTATTTCACGCATGAGTTGAGTACGCTTTTGTCACTCGCTGGTTTTTTTTTTCGTATCATTTGATTTTATTTTTTTTTTTTTTGCTGGAGCTTTTTGCTAACCTTGTGTGGGGTATTTCGCATATGGAAATTTTGTGTTTTTGCTTGCATTGTTTCGATATCGATTATTGAATTTGGAAATTCAGTGAGGCAGATTCGATTGATGATTTTGATTTTGATTTTGATATTGATTTGGATTTCGATTCGATTGTAAATTGATATTTTTGATTATTGGATGCGATTTTTTGCGTAATTCGGTAGTTTTTTTTTTTGTTTCTTTTCTGTTTGCTTTTGGTTCTGACAGGTGCAATGGTGAGTTTTGCGCATTTGTACAAAAATGAGTTGAGTTTTGAGTTTGATTTAGATTTGGATTTGGATAGTTGTGGAATTTTGCTTAGAACTTCTCCGATATGCTATAGATGCGCTTAACGCTCACGCACTTGCGTCGCAGACGCTCGCACTCGATCTCCCGGAAATCGGCGTGCGAACTGGAACTGGAACTGGCCGCCAGGCAATGGTTCGCCTCCACGCTGGATGACGTCTGCCCGATGCCACCGATTCCTATATCGTCGATGGCAATGTGATGGATGCGCGGCAGCTGCGATGCTGCGCAGATGTTCGGCTCACTGTTGGCGGCACCGGCTGGTGAATGGCAGTCGGAGCCGGAACTGGAGTTTCTGGATAGCTCGCTGTCGTTCTCCTCGTTCTCCTCGTTCTCCTCCTCCTGATCTTCCTCCTCCACGCACTGCGGGCAAATGGTATCGATATCGATATCGTTATCGTTATCGCTCAGAAGCTCGTCGTCGTCGACGATGTGACGACGCGTCGTCTGCTTTTTTCCTTGAGTGCTTATTATAGCACGCTTCAGCTCCAGGAACAACGGCGATGCAGGCAGCAGCGGCACCAGCGGCGGCTGGCAATCGAAGAGACCCAAGCTGGCCGACGATTCACCGGCGGGCAGCGGCTGTGTGGTAATTACCGCCGATGCAGGCAGCCCGAGCACACCGTGCGTGCTGGCTTCCGGATGAATGCGATTGTCCGAATTGGTTGTGGAGAACTTCGAGAGCAGCGACTTGGAGCTGGCCTTGTTCTTCAGCTGCTGCTGTTGCAGATAGTAATAGTCGCGCGGCAGCGATGAGGTTGCATGCAACGGATCCTCCGGATCGTAATAGCCCAATGCGGCGGGCCGAAATAGGCCGGGTGTGCTCAGTGAATGCGGCTGTTGTGACTGCGACTGTGACTGTGACTGTGACTGTGAATGGGACTGTGACTGGGACTGTGATTGCTCCTGCTCATAGGAGTCACTGATAACGCTGGCCGTTGAGGCGGTGGGCGTGGTGCTGCTAAGAGTCGATTGCGAGCCAGCGGCAGCGGCAGCCGCGGCGGCTGCGAACTGTGCGCCCAGCAGGGGCGTTAAACCGGCCAGGAACTGTTCCTGCTGCTGCTGCTGGCGCTGTTCGTCGAGTTCGCGGCGATAGGCCTCGATCTGGTCGCTCGGTGTGGGCGTGTTGCTGTGTATGCAGCCTTGAAAGAAATCCAATGCTTCGTACAGGATAAAACACAGGCCCAGGACAAGAAATGTCTCCATCATAAGGAACAAACAGCCATTGGAAGTGCAGCCGGAAGTAGCGGAACGAAACGGAAACGGAACGAAACGAAGCGAAACTGTACAAAAGTGTACGCAACGTAACGGAATTATAACGAAACGAAACGAAACGAACCGAACCGAAACGCAATGGAATTGCAACACGTTACAACATTAACCGTTCACCGTTAGCCGTTTAACGTTCCTTTTCACCGTTCCTTTTTTACCGATAGTTCTTTGCTAGCGTTTCGCCTTCGCTCGTTCGCTTTGCTGTTCGCTTTTCTCTTTTGTTGTTGTGGCTCCTACTGTATTGCTTCGCACTTGTTGCACTTCATTTTCGCTGCTTTTTATTTCTTATTTCGTTTGCCATTTGCTTAACGCTTTTTAGCTTCATATTGTCGCGAAGTGTCTTTCTCGCACTTTTGTTTTTTTGTTTTGGTTTATTTTTTCTTCTGTTTTTATTTTTTCTTTTGTTATGCAACACTCAAATTAATTTCGAATTGTTGCCTTGTGTGCGCTTCTCGCTTGCATAAATTAAAAGCTTCAATCCCTTTCTATATCTATATAGACAGAGATATGCACTCATAAACAATTAGGCTACTTAAAGATATCACATATATAAACACATACACATAGACAAACACATAGATATTGTTAGAGACTTAACATAAAACATAAATTGAAATCATTTGCTCAGTTTGTATTTATACTCTTGTTAGCCGTGCGTGTGTGCGGAACGTGTTGGAAACGAAACGAAGCATACATACATACGCATACGCATAAACATTTATTATAGATAAAGGCATAGATCGGTACATTTAGATTGCGAATTTGATATGTGTTTTCTAGTTTCCCGTCCCAGCCCAGAAGTATGCACTGATTTTTTGCTGCCTTCAATTTCATGTGTGCATGTGTATGTCCGTGTGTGTGCGTGTGCGTGTGCGTGCGTGCTTATAACGCGCATAAAATCCAAAAGTTAAATGTAAAAGCATAACAGAAAAGTCACGAAAGCAAAAGCAAAACTGGAAGCAACTTTGTTGCCTTTGGTTGGCTTAGAGATAAGGGAAAAGGCCCCGCCCGCCTGCTGCTGAAAACCGTGCAGCAAGTCGAGCAGCTCATAAACTTAAGAAACAGCTAAGAAGCCCCTAAACAGCAGCTCGCATTGGCTGCATAAAAATGCCCACTCAAACTGGCAAACGGCGCAGCAGATGCCGCTCCAAGCTGAGAGACGGGGCAGGAAGAAGCGCACAGAGAAGTGCCCCAGAGTGTGCCAGGTGAAGCCCACAAAAAGCACCGGCAATTTTTTTTTTTTAATAATTTGCCACAAAGTTGGCGCAGAATTTGGGAAATTAATAATCAATATATGAAATTAAATTTGATGAAACTACAAACTAAACTTATCTTTTGTGCTTTGATAACTCGCAACAAAATATTTTCAGTGATTGGAAACAATATTTTTTCATTCATTTTTATTTTTGCTATGAATAATAATTATGGCAGTCAGCTTTTCGCCCCAACGCTTTTTTCGTCAAACGATTTGACTGAAGCACGTTTTTGTAAATCCCTGTCAAAGTTTATGTCATTTAATGCTAAAACAACGCACACGACAAAAAAAGGAAAACATTTCGGCTAAACTCCCGCTTAGGCTTAAACCATTTGTGAATTATAGCGCAAGCACGTGTTATTTACATGACGCAAAGTGCAACAAACTCGTATGCCATAAAACAAAAACAAACCCAACGGAAACCCAAAAACTAAAAATCCATTAAAAATTCGATAGAAAAAATTGTTGAAACAGTTGAAATATTTTACGCAACGCTAAAAAAACGCACAAAACAATAGATAAATCCATAGAAAAAAGTATTGAAAACGAGGAGATTTCAACTGTGGCAAAAAAAATGTTATTTCACATGCAACTCGTTGCATAGAGACGCAAAATTTCAGCATTGTCTGTTGTCGCTGGCCATTGTAATTGACAGCCCAAATAACACGCGGAATATGGGGGGAAGAAAAAAAAAGAACGAAGAAAAAACAATCTGGCAACGTTGCATGGAAATCACAGCTTGACAGAGTCATCAAATATGCAGCAAATGTTGCTGCAGCACAATGAAAATTGATGGACAAGAGCGTATGTTGCATGCAACCCGCAACCCACACTCCATACATGCCACGCCCACTCACACACTCACACACACACGTACTGCCCCTCTCGGAGACTCACAAAACAATCATTGGATGCCCATTCATGTTCCTCTTTATATATAGAATTAAAATATTCCGTTTGGAAAAGTTAAGGTGTGTGTAAGAGACTGTGTGAGAGTGTGTGCGTGTGTGCGAGAGTGTGTGTATGATTGTTTAAAAATATGCTTTATGAATGTCAAGTCTTGTGTTATAAGTACGACAAACAATACTAAGTTTGTATTTGATGTGAAATGAAATGTTTGATAAACATTTTTTTTTTTTTTGAGTATTTTGAGTATTGAAAGAAAAGCAGTGTTGTAAAGCGGGCTTATGCATCTACATATGCACAATTGCATTTGCCTGCTTTATGCTTAGTTTATGTGCATATGTGCGCGTTTTGCAACACTGTCTTTCTCTTGCTTTGCAATTTTAATGCTTCTTTTCGCATGACACAAAAGCTTTGTCAAATTGTTTGCCAAAGTATTGAATTGAATTGAAGTTTATTTTGTTCATATTTTGGCTGTCCAAATGAATCGAATTTGCTAATATAAACAATAAAAATTGATAATAAAATGAAATATAAATAAACACATCCTCCATGATTGGATGAATATATTTTCAAAAACTACTGCAGCAACAATTTGCCAAATTTGCATATTTCAGCGACCGACTCTGATAATGGTGACTTTCGGGAATTTTCTATACAAAATACATATATAGAAATATCTATCATTTTGCCAAATATACAATGTTACGTAAAGGACACTTGAGTTAGATTAAATTTTATTCATGGCAAAATAAAGTTAAACACAAAAACGAACAAAATATATTTATATGTATATGTGCCCAATCATAATATATACAGATACTCGATAGTATTATGGGCAATACTCAAATATAATCCATTTGCACACAATTCAACTGCAATTTGATTCATTTACATTCAACACAAATACCAATCACAGACAGGATCAAGTACCAATCACACACGCACACACGCACACACGCACACACGCACACACGCACACGCAAGCAAATCGAAAAGAAGCAGACGAAGAGGAGCACGAACCTGCAAATGTTTTGCTCAGTGATTTTTATACTGACCCTCAATCGGACAATTTGATATGCAATATGAATGAAGATATCTATAAGATATTTACAGCAATTTACAGCTATAATAACAATCCCAAATACTTACAAAGAAGCCAAAAAAAAAAAAAAAACAAAAAAGAGCACACACATACACATGCACAGCCACAGCAGCTGAAGTGGAGTAGCATATAAAGCGCAATGTTTACAAATGCACAACAACAGACACCGAAAGAAAAGGAGGAAGCAAAAAAAAAAAAGAAAGAAAATAAATAAATATAAAACACAAAAACAAAACAAGAAGAGCGAGCAAAAAAGATGATTTGAAAATAAAACACTTTGCAGCAACATACGCAGTCAAGCTAAACCCAAGCTGATGTGAATGATGATATACCCCCCACCCCGCTCTGCTTGGCTGCCTCCTCCGACACCGCCTTGCCTTGCCCAACACACACGCAATCGATGAGGCGTAAAAGGGCGCAGCAATCACGGCCACAGTGTGACCAGAGCGCAACCCTGCCAAACATTCTACACACACACACACACACACACACACACACACCACCAGACGTGCTGTGTAGGAGGAGTCACAGTTCCAGTTTCAGTGCTTGGTCACATCAAAATGCACAACGTGTCGTTATTTATGGCTTTGGGTCGTCGCTGCGCTGCTGGGCACCGTTAAAGCTACAAAACGAAAGAGCGGAGGCGCGAGAGCGGAACCCTTTACCGAGCCCACTACGTCTCCGCAACAACAACAACAACAACAACGGACTTGACCAAGCGTAAGCTGAAGGATGCGCAGCAGATCCAATAGGCTGGATTGAGCTCTAGGGCCCCCCCACACACACACACACACACACACATCTGCGAAAACCCTTGCAGTTTGGCGGCTGTCAACTGCGAGCTATCGCCAAGGCTTATGCAACTCGGCAAATTGTTGAACTGATGCCACGTACACAAATGGCAACAGCAACAATTGTTACACATGTCCCCCCCCCCCCCCCCCCCCCTCCCCACCCAATGCTCTACACCGCACGCTTGCTCTGCTGACCCACGACCATGCACAACTCGAGTTTCAACTTAATTTGTTGACAACTTTTGCTCGATTTGTTTTGATTTTCAATTTCATTTTCTTTTCTGTAATTTGCCCTGATTCTTCTTTCTTGATACTCTGTACAAAAGCGGCAATGGGGTATGCATATAAATGGCGAACTCAAACATGGAAAGGTATATACATATGTATGTATACATTTTTTGACGGCCACGCCCACAATTGTAAAGTTTAAAAGTTGCAAATAAGTTAAAAGGGTATTGCATAGTCGGTAACAGTTGATTGCAACTTTTTTGCTATTATTATTATGCAAGGCACTCTAATTAAATTCTCAGTGTGTGCGTGTGTGTGTGTGTGCGTGTGTGTGTGTGTGTGTGTGTGTGTTTGGGACAGAACGAAAAGTTCTGCAGCCGATTTGCTTCAACTTCAAACAAATTCCAAGTAATTGCACATTGACTGATGAGAGGGGTGGCGGGACGGGGCGGGGTATTAAATGCGGAGTAAACAGTGTTATGCGCACGTTAACTTTTAAAAGTCTCGCTGTGTGTGCGAGTGTGTGCGTCTGTGTAAGCAAAGCTGCACATAACGGACAACCACGTCTGATACCTCACTGACTTTTGACGCTGCTGAAGAAGCCAGCAGCACAATTTTTCAACAATTTAATCATTAAAAGCAAAACAAACAACAACAGCAGCAGCAGCGCAGAGGAGCAGAGAGTGGGGAGGGGGGTCTCAGTGGGAAGAGAATGAAAATTCTTGCATATTTTTGCTGTTAAGTCGAGTCAAAAGTTTTTTTTTTTATAGCAACAGCAATAACAAAAATAACCAACATGCTCTTACGCTTCCCTTTCTCTCTCAGTCTCTCTCTCTCTCTCTCACTCTCTCAATCCCTTACGCTCTTCACGCTCTGCTTTGTAATTGCTGCACAATGCAGCTGTGATTATCTGCGCTGAGCAAGTGAGCGCGAAAAAGCAGGCAACACAGGAATAACAACTACAAAAACAACAACAGCAGCAGCGGGAGTAGCAGCAGTAAAACAGACAGCAAATCAAAGCTTTAATCTGATGTTGCTTTTTTTTTTTCATTTATTTAAAATTAAATTCCCATTTGGGATTTTTTGCTCCGTTTCAATGTATTTGTGTTTAATTAGAGCAGCACCGGCAAAGTGTGTGGGCGTGCGAGCGAGAGGCACGGCGCCAGCTGTCAGCAAGGCAGGGGAATTTTTCGCTAGAGCGGGCATCCGTGTGCCTGCCTGTGCGTGCATGTCAGGGCCGGCAGACGGCAGACGGCAGACGGCAAAAACAAAGACAAAACCTTAAGCTTGAGACGAACTTCGTATGCGCTACACAAGTGTAAACAGTATTCAAGCGCAAAAAGCTCAACTAAATGGATGAAAGTTAAAATTACAAAACGGCAAGAGCACATTGATATTAAAGCTGAGTGGTGTTGTTTGTGAGTGCTGCTGATCAGCTCGCGCAAAGCTCATATAAAAGTCAATATGACCCAATGGCACAGAAAAAAGTGCAAAGAACAGCAAGAGAAACGACAAGCACAACAACTGTTGCCAACTGTAGAGCTGCAGCTGGAACTGCTGCTGCCACAGCCACTTCATTTTGTGTGTGTGTGTGTGTGTACTCATTGGTGAACTTTGGCGGAAAGTAAACCGACATAAGTGTTGCGACGTTCGTTGTTATTGTTGTTATGGGGCACTGAGACGCCAAGGCAAATGCAGTTGCAGCTGCAACAGCAGCGACTGCGTCCAGCTGCATGTTAACCTCTTTCGCCAGGCGACTGCGACTGCGGCAAAGGAAAAGGAAAAGACAAACAGCAAGCGGGTCAGATACGGTTGCAACAGTGTGCACAGGTGGCAAGGTGGCAAGGTGGCAGGAGGGTCAGTTGGTTGGCCTTGCCTGCAGCATAAATTTTTAAATGTGCCCCAAATGACAAAGCCCCAGCACAGAACCGCACAGAACCGCACACGCCCCGCACCGCACCGCACCGGCCCGCCCCGCCACGCCCTATACAGCAGATTGTTTGCTGCGGCTTTTGTCAACTGCAGCAACCTTCAC